GTTTCTTGAGGAATTCCTTGAAGATTCATCTTAGGGTTGAGCTTCCTTAGTATGTTCACCAACTTCAGAATGAACACTAGGAGTGCACTGATAACAGTGTTGTAAACCCCTGGCAAGAGACCAGAGGTCCGGGTCATAGCAGGGTCAAAATGCAGCAAAAAGAATTGGATAATTCCAAAGAATGGGAGAAACAAACAAGATTTAACACTTTAGGAAGGAGGGCAATAAATTTTGACACACAAACAGCAATAAACTTCTGCTATAAACTGGGAATTTGTCAACTGGAAATGATCAAAACTCTGAAGATTGGGTTGAAGTTACTTTTCACAGAATGGCTGTGTGCCACAAACATGGTATAGACATCAAAAGACCAGTGTTCCTTGGATATATTCAATGAAGCATTTCTGGTATAATAGTACTACTAGTACTGTGCAAGGTGTCTCATGGGGATGACTTTGCACAGTTGTTGTCACCAATGTACAAGAAGGTGGAATTCAAACTTTAATAGAGAAAGGCTCCTAAGATGATAAAAGTGAAGAACAGGAGGCTAAAACTCTGAGACAAGGTGATGAAATGCTAGGTTGCATGAGACCAATTGTCTAAAAATGCACCATAGGGTGAGGAGGAATTGGAGACGATGAAATGCTGATGAAAGAGGGAAATATCCTTCCTTCATTAGGGATATAGAAAAAGGTCAGCATGCTAAAAACTAGGAACTAATTTGACTGTAAGGTGATTCCTACACTTGTAGAGCAAACAGGTCTTGAAATGGCCTTCACATGGGTGAAGCAGGGGGCAGAAAAGGGGAAGAGCAGTGACAAAGACTGACTCAGCCCAGCTGTTAAGAGAGGACATGGGTATGTTTATGAAGGAGTATCAGGACGTGGACCTAACAATTCAGGGGTTCTTTTCCAGACCTCTGCTCCAAAATTGAAATCAGGGATATTTGCCCATATCCTCTTCTTTCCATTCAGTTGCACAACAGACAGAGACCAAGAAGGTGCTATGCTGCTGTGCAACGCATTCGGTTTTGTTTGTTCAGTGAAATGAACATGCACGGAGAGCTTTAATCAAGTCCTCTCCAGGTACAATGACTCTCTCCACTTGCCTTCTCAATTTCAATAATGTTTGTAGTGTTCTTATTTTTAAGTCAGATAGATCCTTCTGAGCCTTGAGGGCATTTACATACTACCCTTCCTTTAGAAACTTGTATGTAATGAGTATGTTAACGATCGATGTTCTTTAAAAAACAGCAAACTGTTGAGTTGCTCCTGACCTTCTATTGTACGGAGCTAAGAGTCATTCAGCCTTTGGCAGTCTGTCTGATAGAAGGAAACGCTGGGCTGACAACTGTCATTTGTCTTTGAGCAATTGCACACTACACAGTAACTATTTGCTCTGATTTTAATCTAATTTATTCTCATTCCTTTTTTTAAAACTGATTGGCAGAAAGAGCCCAGTATATTCAGTTACTGCAGACCTTTAAAAATTAATGAGTTAAAAGACAAATACCTAATAATTCAAATCTTTACAGTCTGTCTTGCTTCAGAAACGAGTATCTACGGACAATGACAGACACTGCCCTGTTCTCTTCACAGCCATTTACCACTTTAATCCCTAACCCAGTCCCTTTATTTCTCCACGGCAAGGTAATATCCTTGCGCTGAAAAATGTATTTACATGTAGGTTTCTACCACTTCTCTTAGGCAATGACAGCAGCAGTATCAGAGTCCATTACTCCTCATCCATTCAAATTTCAAATAAATTTATATGGGGAAAACCATTCATTTCTGAGAAGGAATAAATAAAGTATTTTATTACTCTCTCTGTGTGTTAATGGATGTCTATAAAATATAAGTAAAAAATATGAATCCTGTATAAGGAAGTCCATCTTTTTTTGAAGGAGAGAAAACAGGTGAGGGAGGCGTGCAAATTTCTAGAAGCAGTTCATTGGAAGCTATACAAAATGCCTCAGAAGAATGCTATTTGTCTCTGGCCTCAGCACCTAACAGGTCCAGTTATGTTCAACATTATCTATAGGAAGAGATAACTCAAGTTAAATACTGAATAAGACAGGAAAATATGCCATACACAAAACTATCTAAAATTCTAAAAATCTTTGCTACCTTTCAGGTAGCAAAGTCTCAAAGGCAGCATGTGCTGAAATGAGAACGATTTATACTTAAAAAGAGATTTTCACATATTGATGCTGTGATCATCTCCTTGACAAATTATAAACCCTTGCTCCAAACTCTAAGGGCATTATATGAGAGTTCTTAGACATAGTTCAAAATTATAATAGTAGGTTTGCCGCTGTTCTCCTCATAACAGCAATTATACTGACTGAACAGATTAGCTGCTCCATGAGAATTTCAGCTGTACATGTCGTAAGGAATGACATGCTGAACTCTGTGTAATTGTGATTGCAAATGTAATTTTTACTGAAAAAAAGCTGTTCTGTATTCATAATAGTACAATGACACGGGAGTGCTAAATAAAATGTCATCCTGACTGCAAACAAATCCTGTTGATGCAAGTGCTGCTTATACCACTGTGCCTGCCATTAAGAAAGTAACCACCGTCTTCTGGGAAAGCATTCAGTCTTGTTCAATTGAGACTGTGAAAATGAGAGCACTTGGGGAATAGACCTGGGAACCTGGCAACCACACTGCTGGAAAAGGATTCTTGTAACAAAAAGAATTTGCATGTTCACCCCTGTATTACCTAACAAGGACACTCCTGCAATTCAAGATTCTCTACACAGTATCTAGTGCAAAAGTTAAAGGGTAAATAATTGTTATCAAGAAATGGTTTTCCCTTATTTTCCACAACTATGCGATATATGGTATTAGGGCTAAGCATACTGTACATCAAGTTCATGATGAAATCTGCAGGAGTTTAGCTAGTGACACCAACAGGAGCAGGATTTGGCCCCGTTAGCCAGGTTAAAATATCATTTTATTCGGATTCCTTTCAGCTGCTTCATCTTTTGCTTCAGAGAAATGGGTTCAATGGGACACAAAATTCTGACGGAACACATTCCATTTACTACTTTCAATAAAATTAATTTCTCTGAGTTGTCTGATTAATTTTCAGCTGCATTTTTAGTCAGAAGTGGAACTTAATTAAGCACTTAAATTGTAAACGTAGCCTATAAACCTCTAGCTTCACCTAACTCACACAGTGAATTTCCATTTACTCACTGTATGTGATAGGCTTTCCTCTCATCCATTCTCTAATACAGTTATTTGCCAGGTCACTTAAGGGACAGCTTTGCTATCCTGTCTTAAGAACATAGCAATAGTTTCTTTCAAAGCGTGTGTAAACCTAATGTAAAATGACTGAAATCAGGTACAGTCTTTTTTTTTTTTTTTTGTCTGTGTGTGTGCTTGCAAGTGTATGTCATCTGTGCTTAGTGGTCTATATTTCTGACATAAAGAGCCTGAGAAAAAATAAGAATAGCAAGCGTGTGGCACAAGGAAGATTTGTGCTTGAGGTGATATGCATTATATAAAAGTGTACAGCTGAGGTTTTAGAGTGGAAAGGTCAAAGGACACAAACGCTAAAATTAGTTTTCTCTTTTCACAAATTAATTTCAACATTTTTCTAAATTCCTGATTTGAAGAGATATTTTCTTCAATATCTACAGGCATAAAAATACTAAATGGAATATTTGTGCTATCTAGTTTTAGGTATCTTACCTAGTAGGGAAACTGTCTTAGGGTGTATTTGAGTCACCTGCTTAGCGAACCTCTCCCCGTTGATCAGAGGGGATCAGGAGATTACCTTATCTACGTGAGCTTGTATCAACTCATCCTGGCATGAATACCCATACCACCAGTGCATTGTCTGCTCTCTTTTTTAACAATTCCAAATACAACTCTTCTATTTCCAGGGCATTTAAAGCTTTCAAATGAAAACTAGTGGAAGTTTTGGGAACTAATGAAATTTTTTTAACCTTCAGTTAGGAATACAGACTTAAAAAAAAGGTAGTTTTTATAGTTTGCTAGTACTTTTTGCTTGTTTACCGGCTAGAGAAGCTGTTCCTCCAAAAATAGACAATCTTTCACTCTTCAAGTCCCTCATTGGCAAGGAGTTCCACTTTGAATTACTTTCATGTCACCTTTATAGTCATCACGCCAGTCTGTCTTTCCAGACAGAAAATGATTTCATCCTGAGAATACCACCAACTTAATGCCCCTTCCCATAACTGGTTGATGTTATTCGTGGAAACCCCACGATCAGGCTTGCACTGGGTCTGTGTGTATGCCTTAAAAAAAAGGTAAGAGAAAGCACTGTGTGCATCTATTTCATAGTATATATATGCACAATCCCTCATATTTCTATGCAGCCAATACTACTCAGCCACAAACACTACTTCAGCCATGCTCTTTTTATGATTACTCCATTAAATATCAGGATACAAGCATTTAAAAAAACCTCTCTGCACTATTGGAGAATATACACCATATCAGCTTCATGAAATTAAGAAGACAAAGATCTACCATTCTCCCAACTTTCAGCTGCAACTAGAAAAATAAACATATCACTAAATAAAGCCATATCTGAGAAATGCAAAAGCAGTTTTACAAAATCAGTTCTATCAAGACCTTCATCAATAAATCCAGCAGTCCCGTTATGAAATGGATACTATTTTTGCTGATGACTACACAACTACATTTCTCTAAATAACAGACTGATTTTGAACTTAAGAGCCAAACTTTTCTGCATCACTTAGTTACACCTCTTTCACAGAAACTACAATTGCATCATATTCCAGAATATAAAATTATCTAAATTGCTAATAAATATGCACATCATAGTTAAGTATCAGTGTAAATGAAGAATGCACGCAGTATACTACATCAAAAATAATTTTAATGTTCATACATGTTCTGGTCAGTATCTTGGTATTGTTGAAATCAACGAAAATAATAACACAACAGACACAACACACTACATCTGTAATACATGCAGACATGCACACAACTAGTAATCACCTGAGTCCTTTTCTGCTGTTGCTAAACATAAAACAAGCAAACAAACAAAAAAAAAAAAAGAGAAGAAAAACATCATTACAGAATTGTAACTATTTTAATTTTATTAGAGAAGAATGAATACCAAATAAGGAGTTAAAATCTTCTTAAAAATCTTCAATATAGCAGGAACAGTCCTGACAGTCAGCTCACACAAGCTGAGGGTGAAATGGTGCATGTTTTTAGGTAGTACATTTATATTTACTAGTCCTATATAGTCTACATTTCGGGCTCACTGGCTGAGTTATTGTGCCTGGGAATTTAGAAGCATAAATAATAGTAAAAGAATATAAGAAAGTCAGAATATAAGAATATTATTTTTGTTAGAGCCTTCTTTGTATCTCTACTTTTTAGGTAGCTACTATTGGTCTATTCCTGATATTATCATGCAATAGTTGGATTTTGACTGACTGATAGCATGTTGTTCACTGAAGAAATATTCAAAGAATAGGAAAAAATCCCCAAAATGTAATGACAGCTACATTTGAGGACATCAGCAATGTTATAAAGATAATGACTCTATGCTTTCTGTATGCAATTTGAGGAGTAAGCAATTAATGCAAACACTAACATGAACTACTTTCAAGAGAAGAATGTAATTTCAGTGCATGGATGCAACAATGCTTCCATAAACCTAAAGAAGCAGAATGGAACGTATTGCTGAAAACTACTACATTTATATTGGTAAAAACGTCAGATCTTTGTAATGACCACAGTGTAGAAAGAGACCAATACATGTCTCACTGCTACTGCAATGTGTTTAATTTTCAGACCTTATGATGCTGGAGCATTTCACTCTCAAATAGTACTCTATTATCAGAAAAGTACTCAACCTATTTCTCGTTGAGGTACTAGACTTATACATGCAATTATCTATTGTGTTTTGGGTTTACAATTACATGGGTGTACAACTACTTACAGAAATCTAGTTGTGTTTCAACCAAAAGACAATAAATCCACAAAGATATCTACAAGTCAAAATATGCCATGGGATGGATGGTAGTTTTATGTGCTGTTCCAGCTTACTGCAGTGTTATGGGCGTGCATGTTTTAAAGTGCAAAATTTGCTACTTGCAGTGGAACTGCCACAATTCTCTAGGATATAATTAAAAATCTTGGGCAAAGATGTATTCACATGATTGTAAAAAACTTTTCCAATCCAATTTAGTGTCAGTAAGTTTAGATATCTTTCGCGTGCTTTTGTCACATTTTGAAAATGTTTCTATTTTTATACCCATTATTTCAACAGGTTTGATAAAAGACTGAAATACTGAACATTAAAAAATCCCCTTTTTGAATACATAAAGACAAAAACTAAGGAAACCAGTTATTTTTGCTTTTTCGTTTTCCAGAATAGATTTAATATTCATCCTTTTTTCTTTAACACAACATGATATCATAATTAATTATGATAAACTGGTTACTAAGATGGTTTCATGTTGTTACTCCCATGATATAATACAGGTTGCTATAGTGATGAGATGGTTTTTTTGTTAATCACTTGTGAGATTGGTTAACTCATGTTTCTCAGAGAATTTGAGCAGAAATGGAAAAAGGAAAAAAAGTTGGCCTTATAATATTGCTAAACATATGAGGCTTCTTCATTTTGCTGCTATGATAACTCTATTTCTTCTAGTGTATTGCTAGAAATACATGTTATAAAAAACATAATATGCATAAAATTTAGATTTTTTTTAAAGCAGAATTAATCCTTCATATTAATTGACTCTGCCTCCAAAAATCCAGTTATATAGATGCACACACAGTGTTTTCTACTCCTGAATATACCTGTACAGGTATATCTCAAGTTTTCTGTACTTTATGAAGAATAACAGATGTGTCTTGAGAAGGCATTTGACTATTATGACTTCCTTTATGTTCTACATAAGGTTTACTAATAGTAAAATGGCATTGTGTATCCTAGTCAACTTTTTTGAGCAAAATCTTAGTTAATTCCATTATACACTTTCTAGAACATACCTAAATTCCAGAAAAACTTCTGATTACCATGAAATCTACTATTTTCGTCCATTAATTCATTCAGAAAATCAGCATGTAATCAAGGCTTTAATCATCAGATTATTATTGTACATCTGACAACACAACAGCAAAAACAAGTACCACTTATCTATCTTTTAAGTACATTAGAAAAGCATCTCAGTTTTCAAGTTTCAAGGTATTGCCACTGCTGTTAAGGAAAGAATTTCGTGTCAGTAGTTTAATTACTAGAAATAGAGAAATAAAAAATAACCCATAAACAACCTGTTAGATTTATGGAGAACTCAAGAGTAAGAACAAAGAGCAACTTAAATTAGGAAGTCCTAGTCTTCCATTCAAACAGGGTCCCAGGAGGCATATTAAAGCAATGAATAGGAAAAAGCTCCACAGTTCACCAGCTGAGATTTTAATGAGACATTTCCCCTTGCTGTGGAAGGGGTTTGTTCTGGAAAGGGAAAAGGCTGCTCACATAATATTCAGTTAATACGCATTGTTGGCTTTTACAGCCACTTTGGCAGTTGATTGCTGTACTAACCTTCTATTTTGGCATATTCTGTAAGTCGAGTGTAATTGATCAAGGCAGCCTTCTCCAGACATTTTCTAACCACTTTCTTCACCTCTTCTGCTGGTATGGGAGTGGCAATATCTTTCATTAAAACCTGTGTCAGAGACAGTTATATCGCTTGGTTACAGTCATTACACAAAACCCAAGGGAAAAGGATAAAAGTATCCTAAAGTTACTACAGATCTGATGACGACTAAAGGCAGAAATCAAAAAGGAACTATTTCAGCTGGGGGAACTAGATATTTGCCTTTGAAGGTTTCTGTTCAACCCTGGTTTGACTGCCTATATGGTATTTATATACAATACCCCTACTGTTTGGCATCTTGCAGCATGCCAATCAGTCTTCGTTTGGGTGATGCCAAGACCAGTATAACAAGAGCATTCCGTGGATGGGCTGGATCACGGTGCCCACTAAAGATGTGGATGTGGAAATTTACTTGGTTCTCACCTGTGGAAAACCTTCCACCATTGCATAACCATTGACTCTTCCACAGTGTAAAGGAGAAACTGCAAACAGCATCATCAGAGCTAGCTAATACTGACTTGCTTTTCTTCCTTCATAAAGTTATTCAAATTCAACATGTCCGTGCTGTGAAAAACAGTCATCTACAGTAGGCAGGGAAAACATTGAACTTCTGGTGGAATATTTTATTACGGACAAGCAGAAGAATAGATCATATAAAGCTTTTCAAAACCTGACAGGTTTTAAAGCCTATTCATTTTTAAAATATAGGACTGATAAAATAGATCACCTATTGCAAGTGAGGTTAAACTGAGAATATATACCTCTTTATATGAATGCAACATTATATACTCTGAATTACTACAATAAAAAAAATAGTTAATAGTTCATTTGCATTTTTACTTTAATTCTACACTCTTAACTTTCAACAGGTAGGTGTAAAAACTCAGTATGTTTTTACCACATTTTAATATAAATAACAAAATTTCAGATAACTCACAACTTTTATAAAGCACTTCGCCAATGGAACCCCAGACAAGGTACACCCTTATAAAACATATCTAAAAATTACTGTTAAAGGGAGGGAGCAAGACATATGGTCTGGGGAAGGGTATAGTAGAAAAGAAACAGGTTCAGCATCAGAGAAGCTATTACGAAGTCACTGTTGCAAAGCAGAATTTTTCCATTACTTGCACACACATACAACATAGCTACCTCTGTTAACTTGCTTTTTTAATGAATAACTTCTGGGTTATCAACAAGTGAAAATACAGTATTCAAACCCTTTTATTCTGGATCTGATTTTTTTTCAAAATTTTCAAAGACAGGTAAAGTATAACGCTTCTAACCCATTTTGCATCCACAACTACAGGAATGCACATTTATTCCCAGTCAAGACCGACAACGGTGTTGCTTGAGCACCGGCTAGAGTATCATTGCCATTTGTAATGGCAGGAACAGTGAGAGGAAATGGTTGTTTCATATAACACGAAGGAATCTACACAGCACTGCAGCCACTGAGATTATAAAAGAAAGAAAACATATATATCCAGACTCTTTATGTGTTTTTGAACACGGCATAGGTTTTCTAAGACAGAATCTCTATCCATGGAGTGTCCTGCAGTGCAGAACACCTGACCCTGCCCAGGACCAGACCTCTCAGATTTCGGTATAGCTACACAAACTGGGATCTAAGATTTTTTTTGAATTCACACCTTCATCAGGCTCCTGCTGATACAATTCCTCTGGAATCTCTGCTGGAATTTAAAGTTCTCTTTTATCAGAGATGACTGAGAAGCTTTTACCATTATGAAGTCTTCTCCCTTTCAGTCAATACAAGAGGATTTGCTGGGCAGGAGTTTATATTTATAGCTGCCCATGTCAGTTTTGCTGCATATAGCTTTTTCTTCTTAAATTGACTCAGATTATGCATTTATGGAAGATTATTTGGATTATATAGAAGCTTTTAAATGTTACATATCAGTATAGACAACAGCAGTAGCATAGAAAAGGGGGGCTGTAGAGTAGACTTGTACTACTTTAGAGGTAATGCTGGGTAGTCACTAAATTATAAAGAAACAGAGAATCACTACAGTGGCTTGAAGTGAAAGTTCAATAAATAAGTCCTACAGAAAACAGCTGTTTGCCTCTGTGGAAGACAATGAGAAAAAGACCTCCCAATGAACAATCAAAACCAGTAGCAAAATACTTGAGAAGTCAGGAGTCTGCTTTCAGCAGCCTGAAGGAAAAACAAAAATGCAGGCTTAGTACTCAAGCAGAATTTAAAATATGTCCTCAAACTTACCCTTTCAAGTAATGAAAGTGTGGCTTTTAAAGCTCCTTCAGGACGTCCGAAAGGGAAACAGTATCTTAAAAAATTAAAAAAAAAAAAAAAAAAAAGAAAAAGAAAGAAGAGGAAGAGAAAATGATCAGAATTATAATACCTAAGTTAAGAATTTACTTTGAGTCGTAACTGTACACAATTTGCATTAAATTATGTTAGTAGAAGACTCCCATACAGGAAGTACTAATGAAAGCAGAAGGCCTCTTCGGGAGTCTACAATGGAGCGTATACATAGTAGAGCAGTACCAGCCCAACAGCAGCTCAGGCCTAAATACAGAAAAAATACCAAAGGCAAAAAGCATCACTTCCACTTTCTCAACTATGAAGGATATTTAATGGTCTCTGATGAGCTTAATTGTCATCTTCCTGGAAAGAGGTACTATTTCTCATGCGGCCATGACAGCTACTGGAGCTGTGAAGTAGCACTCTGTATATTATGTCTTGTTTTAATATTGGATTAAGATAAGGGTAAAATGTCAGATATTTATCTTTCTAGAGATATACCGGAATAAAAATGCCTGCAGATATTCCATATCTTTTCCGATTATATTATAAATGGCTTCGAAAAGCATTTTATGTTATCTTAAATTTTATCAGCTACAACTTCAACTGTATCCACTTCTGTCTCGATACTTCTAAAATTATGTAAATTAAAAAGTGATCCCATTCATAGCTTTGTTTTTCATTTTTGTCTGCTGAATGATCCAATATATCAGCTCAATGAGGCTACAATGCTCAGGCAACTGTAACCTCTCCTAATCCTCTCTATATAATCTTGCTGGGATACCCCCAATTGGAAAAAGGATTTTTTACTTTGCTGAGATTATTTTTTTCTTATTATTGCTCAATGAGAATGGTAGCCTCATATTCTAATGTTTTCCAATAGTAAAATCTTTTCTGATGATGAAAGGATTCAGACCAGTGAATTTTAGATACACATTTTGGTCAGCCAAAACAAAGCCCTGTAAATGAGGTCAAAAAAGGATTTCCCACAGCAAGAATTCCAGTATGTGTTTTGCTTCATTTTGTTTCTTTTTTACTGTAGTGCTAATAGTTTTTGAGGACAGGTTAAGAAATTAGCAAAGCAGATTTAATGACCCTTAGGCTTTAAGTCATCTTAAAACAGAACACATCTTCAGGTGTTTTGTCTCCTCCTCCCTTTGCAGTATATTTCCACAATCCTTGACTGGTCTTTCCCACTGTTTATTCCTGTCAACCTCTAATGGTAGTTTTTGAATAAATGTCATTCATTTCTTGAGTATACTTACTATTTCAAATCAAAGACTTTCTTCCAGGTGTGTTCTGCAATGTAAATAACATAACAAGCTTCCAAAACCCAACCAGTTTTAAGTTCATGATGCAGACAGAAGTCCCACAATAGAATAGGGGACACGCAGTTTATTGTAGAGACAATGTATATGAGTACAACATGGGCAGTAAGCTCATGTGTGCAACTGGTGTAAGGAGTTTCTGACAGAGAAGAGTTGTTTTCTTGCTATAAGCAGCTTAAAGAAAAGGAAATGTTCACAGTAGAGGCCTAAAGGGACACTTGGAGCAGTCCTGCCTCCAGTGTTACAGCATCTGTGCTGCTGAGGAGGCAGGGAAGCAGCATCTTGCCGGCAAAGAGAAATTCAATGTCTTGGATAAAACCCCCATAGCAGCCAATTTCACACTGTTCAGTTGTGGCAAGGATGCTCCTACAGTTGAGGGGATCCTTAAGGACAGGGGGACATAGATGGTGGTAGTAGTCAGTTCAGTTATTGGACATATGGACAACTGAGTCTGTGACATCCAAGAGGACCAAGCAGTAAGTTAGTTGCTGAGTATAAAGGTAGTGGACATCAGATGTTTACGTAAGTTACCAAGGGGAGAACAGAGAAGGAGCAGCACTCAGTCTACATTAGTACCACCAATACATGGAAGTGCAGGAGGAACACTCCAGAGACAAAATTCACACAGCCAGGCAGGAGGTCAAAGTCCAAGACCCTCACAGCAGCTTTCTCTGAAATATTGGCTCTTCCACATTTGATGCCTGAGAGGCAGGCAGAGATCTGAAGTCTCCGTGGGTAGGTAAGAAAGATGACAGATAGGAAAGGTTAAAGTACCTTAAGAACTGGGAAATACTTTAGATGGAGCCACCATCATGAGACTGGCTGACTGCATCTTAATCATAACGCAGCCAGGCTGATAGCAATGAAAATTAAAATTAAAAAGGCCATAGGTGAGCATTAAAACTGGAAGCTGCAGGTTAGCTGACAGGCATGGGAGAGCATCTTTTTCAGATGAGTGTGGCCTAGGCAGACATAGCAAATGTTCAGTGCATCTCTGAAAAGGCAGGAAGAGAAATACACTCTTCAGTTAAACTGTCCATAATGACAGCTGACCACTGCATGCAATGCTAAGCAATGGAGCGAGGGCAAAGCTTAGAAAAGTTCCGACATACTACAGAAAAAAAAAAAAGCGCTGGTGATCCTTGAAAGTCTGTACCACTGACCCCCTAATTAGGATGACGAGTGTGATTACGAAATGTTACGTGAGATTAGAGAAGCTAAGCACTGATGACAAATAGCAAGAGATTTCAACTACACACATGTACACTTGATCAATGTCTCATTAGGATGAGATATAATGACAATATTTTTGGAACAGTTTTGAATTGCTTCCTTGGACAGTTAATTTAGGACCCACAAGAAAAGATGCTATTCTGGATTTGGTCTCAAATGTGAACAGGACATAGTTCGAGAGCTGCAGAGCAGAAGAGGTGCTCCATAGTACTGATCATAAAACAAGAAAATTTAACAATGTAGCAAACCTTAAAGGACTCCATGAGGAAGATAAAGAGGTTATTGCAGAGAATCCAGCATTTTAAAACTGTAAAACCTATGCGAACAAGGAGCACACAAAAGTCTCTGAAATATTCTAGGGCACACATAAACAGCATGGATGCTCAAACTGACAGTAGAAAGAACAGTGGAAGCAGGAAGCCAGCCTGGGAGATGGTGGGATTGCCCAGTGACAAGGAATCCAGGGCATTCAGGGGCGGTAAGGCCAAAGCAGAGAAATTCAGTGCATAGTTTGCATCAATCCTTACTGCTGAATATATTTTTCAAAATATTCAGTATTTCACAGTTATCACAACAATTTTCAGGGACTGGAATACGGAGTGGTTTTAATACTATGTTTTCTTAAGAAAGCAATCTCACAGCCAAGGTTGTTCTTTGTTAATTAATGATACAGGTGATGTTTTTACATTACTTGAGTCAAGGTTTTCTTTAAAAGTCTAATGCCAATTCTTTATCAGGATGTCCTATATTGTGATTCTATATGCTTTATAAATTCAGATTCCAGGGCACTATTAATTCCTCCTTCTACCAGTATTATGCTAGTATCCTCATTTAAATCCAGACATTCCACCTATTTTTTTTTTTTTTTTCTAACATTTGTTCAGAGAAAGACATAGTAATTGCTCTTCACCTGGCAGAGCACTGTTGTCTCTCTTGATTAAATAGGATTTTAAGGCAAACCTTAAGAGTCCTCTGAAGGATACAGGCATTCATCTTTGAATGATACTTTTAATTGCTCTCAAGGAGGAGTTTCTAACTTTGCTTGAATTCCCTCAAAACCCACCAAGAGTGAGGCAGAAATATCCTATGGTCACTGATATAGCCCAAGCTCATCAACATACTCTAGTGTGCAGATAAGTAGACATGATGGGTTTTACCTTTATTTCTTCCAACTCAAATAATTATTTAGACATTACTATACATTTTGTAATTAGTCTTATGGATGTGAAGGCTTGAAGGTGAACAGAATTATTCTGAAGATGCCCAGCCTCTCTTCTTGTTCCCTCATCTCCCTCCTCTCTCCGTACATATTCAGAAGGTTTCTACTGCTTCAGTATTTTTTGGGTCACAGCTACCCTCACTGACTTCACCATTGTGTATGAGTAAAAGTACTTATATTCACTGGAAATTACAGCCATTGTGTTTCTACCATAAATGTGACAGGATATGGTCATAACTGTGCCAATCACAGGTCAGAGGTCTTCTTCTAGCTCCAATACTTAATATTTGTTTTTTTGTTTTTTTTTGTAGCAAGCATGAGAAGACAGTCACAGAAACAAGTTTTCCTTCCCCTTGCAGATGATGTTCTTTGTCACTATTTTCCTTCTGCCTGGGTAGGAAGCACTCTGTCCTATGCTGCTCTGTATCGCTTCTCTGGCAAGAGTTATTTAATCCCATGGAAGACAGGAAACAGCAAATGTGTCAGGGAAGAATCTTTAGAGGAAATAAAGGAAGGGAGCTTCATTTTTTCCCAAAAGGAATACCCTCCAAGGGGAATCCTAGCTCTCTTCAGTTTAACACAGAAATGAAGTCCCAAGTGAAGACTGCTATGTCCTCCGTGCTGAAAAAATCCCCAACGACCTAGGTATCAACATGACAGATACCAGTGAATACCAGACATCTACCTCATCAAACCAGAGGGGCATCCAACAAGCTTATAGCCATTCTTGCCAAGCAAAAGGAAGTTGTTTCACGCAGCACTATTTAAACTGTGGAACTGGTTGTCATAAGGTGATACAGAGACAAAACATTTCTACAAATACATCCTAAAAAAGGATTCGATTGACAGAATAATGGCAGATAGGTTGGCTTAGTGTGATAAACTAACAGATTTGGTGGTCTACACGCCATTTTTATGCTAAGCTTTGTAAACCATCAATTGCTAGAAAATAGAAGGAAATATCACCCCAAGTTTTCTTCGTTTCTTGTACTTCTTCCCTAAACATCTTCAACTGGTATTGACAGTCCTTACATATGACAAACTCTTTATTGAGGATGATGGACCTTAGCTGATTTAGGAAACATAAGTATATCATGAAATGAAGAAACTGACATTAGACATCTAGAAAATTTTAGCTGCCATCTATCAAAGATGTTCTCTGCTTATATGATTTTTTTGATCAGAACTAATCCAGAAATTGCTATGGCTCAGTCATTTTCATTCAGAGAATTTTCTTAGTTAGAGTTATAGAAAGCTTAAAGTTTAAAAGCATCAACAAAAGTCAGGTCTATGTTCTTGCACAATCTTTTCTACCTTAGAAAAATACAACTCACATGATACACAAATACATTTTAAGCAAAATCACTTGGGTAAATAAATTATTCCATATTTAATATATTCAAAATTTCTTTGCAGGTAGATTATTTTATTTTCACTCCACTTGTTTAAGACCAAAATTGAACACCATGACAAAATCCTTCCAGAAAAAACTTAGTATTCATTGAATAAATTATACACTCACCTGAAATGGCTTATTTGGTTTTCCAAAAGGGAGGAAAGTCTGTCCTTAATTTCCTCAAACCTTTCTTTCTCTTCAACAGATACTGTTCCAATTCCATCTGGCCTGTAATATTAAATATTTAATAATTGTTGATATCTCTTCATGTTGATTTCTCTTTGAACAGTGATCTTTATTTTTAAAGCTTTCAGTTAACATGGGTACTAACTCTCCTTTCCCCTTTCCCATTGCCTTGAAGGATAAACAGTAACTTGTGAATATAGTTAAAGAACAGATTGCAACTACACAAACAATTTAACCTTTCAGCTGAATTTTTAAATTCAAGCCCTAAATTTCTCCCTGATCCCAATATGAACACAAGGTAGCATATATTCCTCCCAAATCATTCCCAAAGATACACAATATTCTTTCTCAAGAAAATTAGTACTATCGGCACAATAGAGGAGTCTGCTTGGATCCTGGTGAATTTCAACTCCTTGGATCTTCCAGATTTTTTCCCAGAGGCACAATAAGGCTGAAAGGTATTTTAAAATAAAGGTGGGAGGCAAACTACAGTGATAAAAGCCAGAGCAGGCAACACCTAGGAATCCCACTGCTTAGAGCGAGCATAGATTTTTTGATTCCCCATATTTGACAAACAGCAGCATGTAAACAAGACTTTCATATAAATATAGCATACAGGACACAACAAAAAAATAGTCTTTAAAAAGACAAAAACACTGTCATTTTTTTTTCAAATTTAAGTCCCAATAGTTAAGAACAAGCTTTGCATTATGTATGTTAAGCACACACTTAGTCTAAAGCCTTAGCCTAAAGGTGTTATTAATGTATTTATGTTAAATTAATGATGAAATTAAAGAAATTTAAATACACATTTCCCAAATGGTATTTTTGCCATGCAGACACAACTTCCACACATACAGCATACTTTAAAAAGAAGTATCTGAAAAATTCCTGTTACTCTCTTTAACTTCCAGCTCCAGGGAAAAGAACAGTTGAGCTTACAACCCTGACACTAAGTGTAGATCTGCCCTGTACCTCCTCCAGAGCCTTCAAAACTATCTCAATGTTTCTAGAACTGAGAAAAGTGTAGTAAAATGACATGAAGAAAGACAACATTCTATGAATGTTCTAAGAATCGTTCTAGGATTCTATGAACATCTTCTTGCTAAATTGCTACTTTAACTTTCTTCACTATACTTAAATCTAGGAGGGATACGTTGCTACATGGTCATAACATAAACATTTCTCTCACCCTTTAAATCATTTATATTTGTGATCTGTCAAGTCAAGGTGGAAAGAATGCCTGAACTCCTTAAATTATTGTGAAGACAACAATAAAAATCAGATATGGTGGAGATATGAGTAACCAGGCACATCAATATACTATTGTATAAATTTGATGTGAAAGAGCAAATAACTTATCTTCTCTCTTTTGATGGATGCCAGGATACTTTACCTCAGCCTTCTGACAGATGGAACAGGCTCAAATTTAAGTAAATTGCACTGTCTGATTTCATTGTCAGGAGAGATCGTGCTCTGGAGTGATAAAGCAAATAGTTCTGTCATATTAAACCTTGCTGAGGCATGTCATATATATGACAGAAAAGACCCAGGGGTCCAGATAACAGTAAGTGAAAAAGGTGAGCCAGTAGGATGTCATATCTGTCAACCTGCACTAAGGCTAGGATCACTACGTACCAGGGACCTGTCACTTCACTGAGTTTGTTGTCACAAAGCACCTCGCTGACAATACCTAAAATTTTCAGAACTGTTAAATGTTTTTTCAGTGGATGTTTGCATAGAAGCAAATGTCCCAGAAGAGAGAGCACACTAAAAGTGTTAGAAAAATGTACCATCCATAGCACCAAAAAACCAAAATAGCACAAATTCTGAATGCTTATTTTATTTCTTCCTGTTAGCCTTATTGCAACAAGCAGAATATAAAAATGCATTTTCGCAACACAGTTCTGAGACACATACTGTGCTGGTGATCATTTTTTGCTACTCTTGGGAACATTTGTCTACTACTGAGAAAACAGAATCCACAGAAAAAAGAATCTCACTCTGAGATGAGCTGAGATAACAGTAAAAATAGATAAATAGTTTCAAAATTCCCACTCATTTTGTCTTCTAGATCTTTAATTGCTTTAAAACCAGAATAACATAAAATAGCACTGCTTTGAGCTGGTTATTTTTATTTACAAATTACTGTGCCTGCCAGGAAAATCAGACTGAAACAGTCATTTGGTTTTCAAAGGTTTAGGTCATCCACAAACTACGCAAGAACTATTTTGCAACTAAAAACGATAACAAATGCACCTTTCCTACTATCCCAAATGTTATAGATAGTGGTTTGGACTTGATTTTTTCAATTCAAAACCAGATTCAGCTTTCTTATTGCAGCGTGGAACCTCTCCTTCAAGAACCCAACCAAGATAAGTGATGGACGATCTTAAGAATAGTTTTCATTTTAACATTATCTTCTCAAGAGGGTAAAGGGAGAGTGAATTTTCCTTTCCTCCACATTCTTTTCCTCCTTACTCTTCACAACTGCTTTTGAGATTAGAGAACTAGGCAAAATAGCGAACACTCAAAACCTGAGTAGCCTTCTCTCTCTCCCATATTAGTTTTCCATTTTTTGAGAACTCTGTCAATTGGATTTGGATTAGCCTGTCTTGTCTGCTTAGATCACAGTCTAACTGGCACAGATGTAATGTTGTCTCTGGTCACATCTCAAATTGTTTAATTCACTCAGACTTAAATATCAAAAGAGATTTGAAATAAAGGAATTGGCTGGATGGTCACACTCAAAGAGTTACGGTCAACAGCTCGATGTCCAAGCAGAGACCGGTGATGAGTGGCGTTCCTCAGGGGTTGGTATTGGGACCGGCACTGTTTAACATCTTTGTCGGTGACATGGACAGTGGGATTGAGTGCAGCCTCAGCAAGTTTGCTGACAACACCAAGCTGTGTGGTGCGGTCGACATGCTGGAAGGAAGGGATGCCATCCAGAGGGACCTGGGCAGGCTGGAGAGGTGGGCCTGTCTGAACCTCATGAAGTTCAACAAGACCGAGTGCAAGGTCCTGCACATGGCTTGGGGGAATCCCAAGCACAAATACAGGCTGGG